GAAGGGTTGTACTCGCTATAGAGCACCCCACTACAGGCTAAAACAATAAGATAATATTCTGACACCGGATGGGTTACCCATTCATCGCATAGTTCGCCTCTCGCCATCCCATTTCGCCTGTCCGTCCTCGTAGTTCATCGTCGCCGTCGCACGTCCGAGTCCAGCCTATCGCCGCATCTTACCGAGGAGCATCGCACAGCACCTGCACATGCTCCCGTCGCTAATAGCCATGTGCTTTGAACGAGCGCATGCACGAATGAGGTCGGTCGCGAGCGCATGATATTCGACGGTGTGACGTCGCCTCTTGGGGACCCGTCGACCTCTCTTCGCGAATTCCCTAGAAGCGGCTTCAAACCTTCGCCTCATCTGGTCGTCAATCGCCAGTACGTCCCGCGCTAAGCGCGCCGTGGTGCAAGATTGCTTGCATGTCGATGTTCACATGGAACCTTCCGCACATACTGATTGGTGCCGACCTACACCAAGTTTATGTGGAAATATATTGTCATGTTTTATAACTGCTTGTAGTTGTAGTTAGTGTAGTTATTTAAACTGTTGTTGGTGGTGCACCTTATTTGGTTTCTATGCTATATGTACCCTTGAACCTATAGTGAAACCATCCCTTTTCACCAATTCCTCTCTCAACTCACTCGACACCTCGCCTAGGGAAACCTACTCGACACCTAAGTTCGGGCCTAGGCTCCTAAGCCTAGGCCCCACCTTTCAACTTAATTCCTTTTACTCTCGACAGTTTATGTCGAGGTTCCGTAAACAGAGACACGGGACGATTATATGGAGGATGAAATCTCCCAAGGGGTTTCATCCTTACAGAATTCTTCGTTACCATGGTTGAGTTCTATTCAATGGTAAACATAATTTGCAAAGTATGGGAGAATAATCACAAGGACTTGGTAGAAGTATGTACCGCATTCTCCCGGACATAACACCCGGGGGTATTATGATAACCACGGGGAAAAAGGGGGGGGGGGGGGGGGGGGGGTCCTCTCAACGGAAAATCCTATATACCGTAATACCCTAGTGGTTATATATGGTATATTTTAATACAAGAGGATTCTTTGATTAAACCGTTTGGGTGTTTCAATGGTCGTTTTAACATCACAGTTTGAGGCGAGAATGTGAGTTTTGGCGCGAATGTGAGTTTCACCTTTTGGGCCACTTGCAGCGGAAGAATTGCCAGTGTGGCGACTTCCTAGAATGTTGGATGGGGGAAATGTCCACTTGCAGCGAAAGATTTGCTAGGGTGGCGACAGCGAGATTGTGGGAGGGGGAAATGTCGGCGGATTCTAAGTGCAAGTACACGCGAAATTTCATTTAGGAAGCGATTCTCGCGATATTCTCTTGTAAGGAATCAGACTCGATAATAGTTATAATAGGAATCCGTAAGAAAAGGGGGGTGTTATAGAAAATCATCCAAAAATGGGGGTATAGTAGAAACGAGGTCGCCCATAGCACCCACCCCACACAAGCTACCCGGGGGTGTACTATCATGGGGGGTGTTTTGTCCGGGAGATTACGGTACATGCTTTGATATTTTTGTTTTTCAAGAATATGTTTAGACATCTGGCATGCTGTTGTAAGACCCAAACATATTTTCTACTAATAACCATCTTCAGAACTTTCACAATGTACAAAAATAAGTTACTGTATGAGCAAATTACAAGCCTAAATCTTTCTACAGTACCAGCTCAGCTTGCCTCCTCTCCACTCTAGTCAATCCTCCCAGCTACCTAAGCTCACACCACACACCTTCCCCAACAATTGTCACCACCTACAGCTTATTTCCTTGGATTCCCACAAGGACATGCAGCGGAACAGTTGCCTTGTCCCTCTGTTCCATCGTATCACCTCCTCCCGCTCTCTGACCCCCAGACCCATGGCTGGTCTCCAGAGATGGTCCAAAACCAGTTCATATCTCCGCCCCACTCCTGTCTTTCTAACTTAAACGGTACCTCTCCCCCACTCTGGTCGTTCCAGCTCATGCCTCTCCCCCACTCTGGTCGTTCCAGCTCATGCCTCTCCCCCACTCTGGTCGTTCCAGCTCATGCCTCTCCCCCTATCCCCCAAGTGTAGTCTTTCCAGCTCATACCTCTCCCCGTTCTAATCCCATCCTCTCCCCCACTCTAGTCTTTCTTCCCTGATTTCATCACCACTATAGGAGGCGGAGTGGCAGCATCAACCGCGATCGAATTCAATGGCGGCTTGCTCTGGTCGTCGCTATTGGCCCACGTCCGCTCGTCGAAAACATTTTCCTGCCCGCTGCCATCGCTGGCGAAAATCGCAGCAAACAGGAGCACGAACACGTTGCATACAATAACGCCGCAGCAGATTGCTTCTGTTGTAGTCACGTTCATTGCTTCCTGTAACTGATAGATCCGAGAAAAGGATGCTTCCTGGAGCTGCTTAAAACGGGAATGGGATGCTGCTGCTGCGGTTCCCTCCCCTGGCATGCCCCTGCAGGCTGCAGCAGGGAAGTGGAAAACGGATTTGAGAGAATTTTCAATATCCCGACCAGATGTCGGTTGCTTTGATTCTTCTTGATTGATGCAGTTGCTGGACTTATGCTGATTCTCCCTTCATGCTATGCTGCTTCAGGGACGGGGGGGAGAAGGGAACGGGGGGGTTAGGTGGGGGAAGGGAGATATACATACAGGCACGGTTGGGGTGAAAAGAGCATCTCTTGCATCAGGCTAGTTCAGGTTTCGCCTTACAAGGCAAGGTGGGCGGTACAATGGAGAAATCACTCAAGTCAGGTACGACTACGACTCCTCGTTTCCTCTCTGATTGAGCAAGTGTTAACGAGACGAGACGACCACTACTCGCCTTATGGAATGCGAGTCACGTCTAGCAACAGGTTGACTTTTGAGTCAACTCAAAAAGTCAACTCGCTACTCGCCTTATGGAATGCGAGTCATGTCTAGCAACAGGTTGACTTTTGAGTCGACTCAAAAGTCAACGCGCTACTCGCCTTATGGAATGCGGCGAGTCATGTCTAGCAACAGGTTAGCTTAGGTCCATCACAAGCTAGGTCAATCGAAGGGAAAAAATCACTCGCTGGGGTAAATAGCAGGCATGCTTGGTTGGTTATACGCAGTTCAGACACGCTAGTTCTATCAAAAATGAGGTCACTCATTGGGGTAACCAGCAGGCTAGTAGGTCAGAGATACACCTGTTCAGACACAAAAAAGGCCAGTCACAAGGTCCGGGACAGGCTAGCTTTCTGAAACAGGTTTACACATCGGGTTTGACGCACCTACTACGACGACCATGACTTGGGTCGCTGCAGGGTGTTTTTGAGAGTTCTCAAAACCACCCTGCAACATCAGGCACAGGCTAGCTTTCTGAAACAAATGTACACATCGGGTTCTGACGCACCTACTACGAGGACCATGACTTGGGTCGCTCGCTACTCATAGGCTGTGGGCCTTGCCTTGCGGAGCTTTTTGAGGCGCCTCAAACTACGAGAACCATGGCTTGGCTCGCCGCGTGACGTGTAGGGGGGCTGTGAGCCTTGCAGTGCGGACGGCCTAGGCGAGGGAAACGATAGGGTGACTTTTGAGTCGGCTCAAAAGTCGAGTCTACGAGCACCATGACTTGGCTCGCCGCGTGACGTGTACTACTAAGACACACTGCAAGGCTCACACCCCCCCTATTTGGCTGTGAGCCTTGCAGTGCGGACGGCATAGACGAGGGAAACGATAGGGGGGCGCATGTATTGACTGCGGCACGAGTCAAAATGACAGAAGGTGACTGGCGTACCTCTGTTTAGGGTTTCGCGGACATCCGTGTTTTCACGGCTCTCGATGCGACTCCGGCAGCAGAGCCGCGTTGAATATACGCAGTGCGTGCTGCGCGGTGGCGACGTTCGGCGACGCTTGGCGAATGATTGGCCGCGATTCGGCGATTTTGCAAGAGTCGCTCGTGAAGGAAACAGGAAGAGGAGCGGAATCGGCTGAGGGAAGAAGAGCAGAGGACGGGATGGAGATGGCACGCGTGCAACGAGGAAACAGCGCCGCTGTTCGCGCAGGTAGTATCGTAGGGGTGACTCAGGGTGGGGCGATGCGGCCTTAGTGGAATAGTACAATGAGCGTCTACACATCAGTTGTCCAGAAACTGAGGGGGAGAGTACGTGTTTACATCACAAGACTGGCGTCGTTTCATGCCCTAGAAATATTGATTGGATGCTTACGTGTGTGCAGTACTTGCGAGATTACATATTGGCTCCCAGGCTCGTCCCTCAATTCATTTTCAGTTCGTTCTGGATCCTGTTCTGTGTGGGCCCTATGGAGGTTGGTGTATGCTTGTTCGGTTGGAACGCTCTAGAATCGAGAAATTCGCAGTCGCGAGTTCAGATATATTTTCGCAAGTATCGTCGCACATCTTGCGACATCCAAATCAAGGTGGAACGTGAACACCAGGGCTGACGTTTCAGGGAACGATTGGGGGGAGTGTGGGGCCAGGGAATACGAGGCACTCGTACGAAATACACGAGGTTCTTGTTACCGCATCGTTTCGTCGAATGAATTACGCGTTATAGGGCAGTGATTCGAAAGCACAGAAGTGGGAAGATGGGATAGTTTCCCGCCAACCAGTAGCAGACTGATCAAATTCGTTCCTAGTTTCCCACGTAGTAGCGTCTCAGCATTTCTGTAGATGCTGAGAACGCCTACTACTGAGATCGGAGCTCCTAAATTAGTCAGATTGCGGAGCTCATTACCTTGGCATTTTTCGATTCTTTAGCTCGAATAGCTGTGTTGTTTAATTAGCCAGGCTGATCGTGCCGCAACCGGCGCTAGTTTCGCCATTCAGCTGGACCAGGGTTAATCTGGTCGCATTCAATACCCAGTCACTGCCGTCTAATCTTGTCCATCATCTGTGCGGTATCATCAAGTCTTCAGTTAGCATCAAATCGTCAGCTTGTATCCAATAGTTAGCTAGTATCTAATCGGTATCAGGCCAGAGGGGGGTATATTATCGCGTACGAAATGGAGGTATTGAACAAATTAAAGCAGCTGGACGCGTATCCGAAGATCAACGAGGATTTCTACAGCCGTACGCTGTCCGGGGGTATCATTACCCTCGTTTCATCTGTCATCATGACGCTGCTCTTCGTTACCGAACTCCGTACGTAACGACGGTCACCCCTCCTCTCGATCCGCTGTCTGACGCGCAGACGATCGCAGCCGACGGTTTTCCCCTCCCATTGTTCATATATCATCCTTTCGCAGAGATCCACGGTTGACATTCCTTCAAATCTTTCAACTTTCGACCCATTGCCCTGCGGCCGCTGCGCCATGCGCTGCGACCTCGCCCTTCCCCCGTCCTCTTTTGCGCCGCCCTTCCCCCATCCTGTTTTGCGCCACCGTTCTCGCGTTCCGCGTTGCGCCGCCATTCCCCCGACCCGTTTTGCGCCACCATTCCCCGACCCGGTTTGCGCCACCATTCCTCCATCCTGTTCTGCGGCCATCAGTGGCGAACGCGCTGTCAGTCAGTGGCATGGAAGGCACTGGGGACGCGATGAGATGAGACTGGGAGATGTCGGCCCTTCCATTGTCACGACCAGCCCTGTTCTCCCCACCCCCCCCCCCCCAACCCCCCTCTCCGCCCACCTTGCTTCCCTTTCCGCAGAGATCTCTTTCTGAAGCAGAGATCAGTGGCGAACGCGCTGTCAGTCAGTGGCATGGAAGGGATTGGGGACGCGATGAGATGAGACTGGAAGATGTCGGCCCTTCCATCTTCACGACCAACCCTGATTCTTCCGCCCCCCTTTCTTCCCTTTCAAGCAGAGATCTGCCTGCGGCCATCAGTGGCGAACGAGCGGTCAGTGCCATGGAAGGCAAGGGATTGGGGACGTGATGAGATGAGACTGGGAGATGCCGGCCCTTCCATTGTCACGACCAGCCCTGTTCCCCCTCCCATCCGTCCTCCCCATTCTGCAGAGATCGCCTGAAGCCATCAGTGGCGACGAGTTGTCAGTCAGTGGGCATGTCAAGGGGAGGGGCAAAACCATGAGACGATGATGAGGCCGGAGACCCACATCTCACCCTGTTTCCCCTCCGTGGCTCCGCCTCTTCCGCCTCCCTGCTTCCCATTCTGCAGAGATGTGTCTAAGGCCGTCAGTGGCGACGAGCTGAGCTGTCAGCCAGTGGACATGTCAAGGGGAGGGGCGATACCATGGGACGATGAGGCCAGCCAGCCACTCACTCACACCTAACCCTGTCTCTCCTCCGTGGCTCCGCCCCTTCCCCCCTTCCCCCCTTCTGCAGAGATCTGCCTGCGGCCATCAGTGGCGACCGAGATATGCCTGTGGACATGTCAAGGGGCGAGGCGAGGCGATACCATGACATGATGAAGCCAGAGTCCTCACAGCTAGGTGACTTTTGAGTCGACTCAAAAGTCACCTCGATACCATGACATGATGAAGCCAGTGACCTCTCAGCTAACCCTACTTCTCCTCTGCGGTTCTGCCTCTATCCCCCTTCAAGCAGACCTTTCTGCAGCCATCAGTGGCGAACGAGCTGTCAGTGGACATGTCAAGGGCGAAACCATGCGACAGTGAGGCCAGAATTTTACACCTATCCCTGGTCCTCTTACGTGGCTCCGCCCTCTTATCCCCTTTGTGCAGAGACCTTTCTGTAGCCATCGGTGCCGAAGAGCCGTCAGTCAGTGGGCATGTCAAGGGGTGGGGCGAAACCACGAGACGATGAGGCCAGACACCTCACAGCTAACCCTGATTCTCCCCCTTTCCCTTCCTTCCCCCATTGGAGCAGAGATCTATCTGAAGCCATCAGTGGCGAACGAGCTGTCAGTGGACATGTCGAGGGGCGAAACCATGCGCATTAATGTGAGTTGCGTACTAGGTGCTAACAAGTCCGACATCCATTCGCCATGTGTTTGCCCCTTGCCCTTTCATTCCCTCGCCCTTCCTTCATTTGCCGTCCTTTCTCGGGTAGTCCCCATTCCTGGTTTTTTTTCCCCCTCTTTGCATACGTTTACTGCCCCCGTGCGTTCCTTCGACTCCCTTTTGGCTTGCCGTTCGTTCTCCCCCTTTCCTCCCAATTATCAGCGCTTCAATATCCTTCCTCACTCTCTTCCATCTCCTCTTATCACCCTCCAATTTCCTTCACTCCCTCAACCTCCCACTATGTCTGCTCGTCTCCATCCTATCCCCCATGCCCTGCTTCCACATCAGCTGGTTTTCACCTTCCCACACCTTGGCTGCGCCATTCTCGCTCTCCTTGTGAAGGCGCCTGGCGCATCAATAGTCCATCCTCTCCCCCCCCTTCCCCCCCACCCCACAACCCCATCCCCCGTTCCCTCTTTGCGCATCAGCTGGACGTGACCTTCCCGCACCTTGGCTGTGCCATTCTCAGGTCTAAAACGCCTCAAAACATGTAAAGCCCCCGCCCCCCCTCCCCCTCCCCACCCCCACCCCACGCCCCCTCCGCATCTTGCGCATCAGCTGGACGTGACCTTCCCGCACCTTGGCTGTGCCATTCTCAGTCTAGACGCCATGGATATCAGCGGGGACCAGCACCTCGACGTGGTGAGCAATGGGCATTAGATAGCACTCGTTATTGTCACATCACAAATGGCTCTTAGATAATATAATGCAGTTCTCAGTCTAGACGCCATGGATATCAGCGGGGACCAGCACCTCGACGTGGTGAGCAATGGGCATTAGATAGCGCTCGTTATTGTCACATCACAAATGGCTCTTAGATAATATAATGCAGTTCTCAGTCTAGACGCCATGGATATCAGCGGGGACCAGCACCTGGACGTGGTGAGCTTCTTCGAACCCCCGTTGTTGTCACAAATAGCAGTTTATGTGTACTTCAGCTGCCATTCGCAGCCTAGACACCATGGATACCAGCAGGGACCACCACATCAACGTGGTGATTGGGTTTTTTTGCCACACTAGTCTCTTATAATAATGCATGCCATTCTCAGCCTATACACAAAAATGGCTATCCTATCAGCGGAGACCGGCCAGCATCTCGACGCCGTGGTGAGTGGGCGTTGTATGGGCCTCGTTATTGTCGTAAATGCCTCCTTGATTGACTTGCTGTTGTTGGTCTACACGCCATGCCATGGGCATCAGTGGGGAGGGGACCAGCACCTGGACGTACGTGGTGACCACAGTGCATGTAGGCCTCGTTATTTTCACAATGACTCGTAGATGGGGTGACTTTTGAGTCGACTCAAAAGTCGCCACGTGGTGAGCACGGTGCATGTAGGCCTCGTTATTTTCACAATGACTCGAAGATGGGCTTCCTGTCATTCTCAGACTAGACGCCATGCCATGGGCATCAGCGGGGAGGGGACCAGCACCTGGACGTGTAAAGTGATAATCATTATACATACAGTGCAAGTTTGTTACTGTCACAAATGGTTCTTTGACTGACGCATGCCACTCTCACCCTGGGCTGTATGAGTGCCGGTAGAGTCACAACACATGCCATGCCACGCCACGCCACGCCACCAACGCAAGGCAAGGTACATAACGTGCGTGCACAAGCGGCGGCTGGTTGGGCAAGGACGGGCGCCCCATTAAGAGCACGGTTCCAGACTTGTCCGCCCGCCATCCGGCACAAAATGGCCAGGGTCGACGTGTAAAGACACGCTGTACACACACACACAGTCGTGTGTGTTTTGAGAATTCTCAAAAAACAGGCACTCGTGCCCTGAGATTTTCCAACGATCGCACAGTCTAGGGCTTGCAACTGTGCCTATGACCCTAACATCCAATCGTGAATGTTTCCGGATGTGTGCGAACCTGTGAAACACATGCAAATTTCTCGCCAGAGGGGTTACAGCCATCGCCAGTTCATGCAGTAAATTCGTGAGAGTGGTACATTGTGGTCCAGATTCGTGTCGGTGGGCTGCCAAATCACAGTGACGTGTATTGACGTGAAAACTTGTCCAGACTTTGATGGCGGGCGAACTTTCAGAACCGCGCTCTAAGTCACAAGCCAGAGGCAGCCCCATCTGGAAGACACAGGGCTCATCTTGTGACTCAATGGGGCGCCCCATCTAGAAGACACAGAGTTTGCCTAGATTATATTTTCATCCTGTGTCCTCTCCCACCCTCACAACCCCCTTTTCAGCCTTTTTACAATCCCAATCTATGCCAGCGGGTCATAGAGTCACAAGGCATGCAGCACGAGGTGGGGGAAAGACAGACAGACAGACAGACAGAAGCGTTGGCGGATACAGATGTCTTCTGTGCGCCCTATTCACAACCCCACTCTTTCAGGTGCACAATGTGTACAAGCGGCGGCTGGGCAAGAATGGACGGCCCATAGAGTCACACAGGGGGACGAAGCACGAGATGGGGGAGACGCATGAGAGGCAGATGAATGATGTTCGTTACTCCCTGTCCTCATGTTTCCCCCCACCCACCCTCTCAGGTACACAACGTGTACAAGCGGCGGCTGGGCAAGAGCGGGCGCCCCATAGAGTCACAGGGGACGAAGCACGAGGTGGGGGCGAAGCACGAGGTGGGGGCGAAGCACGAGGTGGGGGCGAGAGAAGGCAGACTTAGAGGCATGAGCGGATACAGATGCCCATCCTGACTCTACTTCTTCCCTCATCTTAACCACTCCCCCAATCTAGGTCCATAACGTGTACAAGCGGCGGCTGGACAAGAATGGGCGGCCGATAGAGTCACAGGGGACGAAGCATGAGGTGGGGGCGAAGCATGAGCCGGTGAAGCTGAAGGACAAGCACGGCAACGAGGTGGACGAGAAGCACGAGAACCTGTGTGCGAGCTGCTACGGTGCTGAGGAGGTGAGTGCGGTTCTTAGGGATTGACTGTGGTGCTGAGGAGTTGCATTGCAGTCGTCAGGAGTTAAGTGCAGGGGGTGAGTAGTGAGGGAGGTGGGGGAGGAGAAGCATGAGCCGGTGAAGCTGAAGGACAAGCACGGCAACGAGGTGGACGAGAAGGACAAGAACCTGTGTGCGAGCTGCTACGGTGCTGAGGAGGTCAGTGCGGTGCTGAGGGGCTGAGCTTGCCGTCTTGTCCTTGCATAAGCACAGTTGCTGCAGCACCTGTGACCGATTGTATGAGGTCGTCCTTCTCCGACTCGTCTCACCAACATGTTGACTCCTCTCCCCATTCCCTTCCTTCCCCTCTCTCCTTTCTTCCTTTTCCCCCTCTTCTCCACTCCTGCTGCTCCTCCCTCTTCCCTCACAGCACGAGCACGAATGCTGCAAGGTGACGGATTGTACAAGCTCGTCTTGCTCTTGAGGCCTCAAAAGAGGCTCCTCAAAAGCTGTCACTTGTGACGAATTGTATGAGAGCATTTTGAGGCGCCTCAAAAGAGGCTCCTCAAAAGTTGTCACTTGTGACGGATTGTATGAGCTCGTCCTCTCCATTTTTTTCTCACCCCCCCCCCCCCCTCTCCTCATCCTTTCTCCACCCCTCTCTCCTAACCTAACCTTTCGTCCGGCCCACCGTTTCTTCCCCTCTTTCCCCCCCTCGTTGCTTCCCCCTCGTTGCTTCCCCCTACCCCTCACAGTACAAGCACAATTGCTGCAACACGTGTGTCTAAGTGAGGGAGGAGTTCCTTCTCCGTTTCGCCTCACTCACCAATATGTCAACCCCTCTTCTCCTCTCCTCTCCCTCCCCCTTCCACTCCCGCTCCCCGTCATCCCCCCCCTTCCCCCCTCCCAGCATGAGCACGACTGCTGCAACACGTGTGACGAAGTGAGGGAAGTCTCCTCTATCCCTTCTGTCTCAACAACATCTTAACCCCACTCCCTCCCCCCCCCTTTTTCCCCCCTCACAGCACGAGCACGACTGCTGCAACACTTGCGACGAAGTGAGGGAAGCGTATCGTAAGAGAGGGTGGGCGTTCACCAACCCGGACTCCATCGAGCAGGTACAGACAGGCGGTCAGTGAGTGTCTATTCCTTCTCCTGGGGAGTGTGTGTGAGGTGCAAGGGCGTGCGGATGTGATGTGGGGGTGGGCGTTCACCAACCCAGACTCCATCGAGCAGGTACAGATAGGGATGAGCAAGGTGGCGAACACCTGTTCGGTTCGCCTCGAACGTGTTCGAGGTGAACCGAACAGGTTTTGTTTTTTAGCTCAAATCGTTCGCCGAACAGTGTTCGATGTTCGCCCGAACACGTTCGTGTTCGGGCCGCTGCTGAAATTTGCCCGCGACGAACACGAACGTGTTCGAGGTTCGCCCGAACACGCCTCCACAGGCGAACAGCGAACACCTGTTTTTTCCTAAACTGTTCGCCAAACCGAACAGTGTTCGGTTCGGCAAAAGAGGGTGTTCGACAAGGGGCAAAGACGAACATGTTCGTGTTCACCCTTTGCTCATCCCTAGGTACAGACAGGCGCAGTCATTTGCACCCCTCGCCCATGCCTCGATTCCAGGTGACTCTTGAGTCAACCTGAATCACCATGGGAGAGAAAGAGCCCACTCACTCACCCATGCGTTTCCCCTGTCTTGTTGTCGGCCGTGCTTGTTGATCCACAGTGCAAGAAGGAAGGCTTTACCGAGACTATTAAGGCGCAGGGAGAAAGCGGCCATGCATGCAGCCTCCGTGTCTCATTTGCTCTCTCAATTCCTGTCTTGTCGCCCATGCATGTGTTGACCCGCGCTTGCCATGCTTGTTGATCCACAGTGCAAGAAGGAAGGCTTTACCGAGACCATCAAGGCGCAGGAAGGCGAGGGGTGCAACATGTACGGGTTCCTGGAGGTGAGGGGTTCGGGGGTTAGCGGTGCGTATCGGCATATGAGGTGGGGTCCGCTCTGTTCTCTGCAGTGCAAAGAAGGTTTCACCGAGACCATCAAGGCGCAGGAAGGCGAGGGGTGCAACATGTACGGGTTCCTGGAGGTGAGGGGTTCAGGGGTTTGGTTGGGCTCAGGGGAGTGTGATGGGCTGCTGCAGCCTACAAGAAGGCGAGGGGTGCAACATGTACGGGTTCCTGGAGGTGAGGGGTTCAGGGGTTTGGTTGGGCTCAGGGGAGTGTGATGGGCTGCTGCAGCCTACAGGAAGGCGAGGGGTGCAACATGTACGGGTTCCTGGAGGTGAGGGGTTCAGGGCTTTGGGCTTACAAAATTGTGCTGAGTTGCCACTGGTCCCTGGCTAGAAGGAGGGCTTCACCGAGACCATCAAGGCACAGGAAGGCGAAGGGTGCAACATGTGCGGCTCTTTGGAGGTGAGAGGTTTACGAGGTTCAAGGCTGTAGGGTGAAGCGTGTGCGATGGGCTGCTGCTCTGCTGATTGCAGGTAAGGAGGGGTGTGCAACATGTATGGCTTCCTAGAGGGGCAACATGAATGGCTGAGATCCCAGCTGTTTGGATTAGATTGTTCCAGGCCAGCCCAATGCCCACGCTGGAACAATCCTTCTTTGTAAGAGCTTCCAGCAGGGAGCTTCCAGCAGGGAGCTTCCAGCACGGAGCTTCCAGCACGGAGCTTCCAGCAGGGAGCTTCCAGCACGGAGCTTCCAGCAGGGAGCTTCCAGCAGGGAGCTTCCAGCAGGGAGCTTCCAGCAGGGAGCTTCCAGCAGGGAGCTTCCAGCACGGAGCTTCCAGCAGGGAGCTTCCAGCACGGAGCTTCCAACAGGGAGCTTCCAGCAGGGAGCTCCCAGCAGGGAGCTTCCAGCAGGGAGCTTCCAGCAGGGAGCTTCCAGCAGGGAGCTTCCAGCAGGGAGCTTCCAGCAGGGAGCTTCCAGCAGGGAGCTTCCAGCAGGGAGCTTCCAGCAGGGAGCTTCCAGCAGGGAGCTTCCAGCAGGGAGCTTCCAGCAGGGAGCTTCCAGCACGGAGCTTCCAGCACGGAGCTTCCAGCAGGGAGCTTCCAGCAGGGAGCTTCCAGCAGGGAGCTTCCAGCAGGGAGCTTCCAGCAGGGAGCTTCCAGCAGGGAGCTTCCAGCAGGGAGCTTCCAGCAGGGAGCTTCCAGCAAGGAGCTTCCAGCACGGAGCTTCCAGCAGGGAGCTTCCAGCAGGGAGCTTCCAGCAGGGAGCTTCCAGCAGGGAGCTTCCAGCAGGGAGCTTCCAGCAGGGAGCTTCCAGCAGGGAGCTTCCAGCAGGGAGCTTCCAGCAGGGAGCTTCCAGCAGGGAGCTTCCAGCAGGGAGCTTCCAGCACGGAGCTTCCAGCACGGAGCTTCCAGCGGGGAGCTTCCAGCGGGGAGCTTCCAGCGGGGAGCTTCCAGCGGGGAGCTTCCAGCGGGGAGCTTCCAGCAGGGAGCTTCCAGCAGGGAGCTTCCAGCAGGGAGCTTCCAGCAGGGAGCTTCCAGCAGGGAGCTTCCAGCAGGGAGCTTCCAGCAGGGAGCTTCCAGCAGGGAGCTTCCAGCAGGGAGCTTCCAGCAGGGAGCTTCCAGCAGGGAGCTTCCAGCAGGGAGCTTCCAGCAGGGAGCTTCCAGCAGGGAGCTTCCAGCAGGGAGCTCAGCAGGGAGCTTCCAGCAGGGAGCTTCCAGCAGGGAGCTTCCAGCACGGAGCTTCCAGCAGGGAGCTTCCAGCACGGAGCTTCCAACAGGGAGCTTCCAGCAGGGAGCTCCCAGCAGGGAGCTTCCAGCAGGGAGCTTCCAGCAGGGAGCTTCCAGCAGGGAGCTTCCAGCAGGGAGCTTCCAGCAGGGAGCTTCCAGCAGGGAGCTTCCAGCAGGGAGCTTCCAGCAGGGAGCTTCCAGCAGGGAGCTTCCAGCAGGGAGCTTCCAGCACGGAGCTTCCAGCACGGAGCTTCCAGCAGGGAGCTTCCAGCAGGGAGCTTCCAGCAGGGAGCTTCCAGCAGGGAGCTTCCAGCAGGGAGCTTCCAGCAGGGAGCTTCCAGCAGGGAGCTTCCAGCAGGGAGCTTCCAGCAAGGAGCTTCCAGCACGGAGCTTCCAGCAGGGAGCTTCCAGCAGGGAGCTTCCAGCAGGGAGCTTCCAGCAGGGAGCTTCCAGCAGGGAGCTTCCAGCAGGGAGCTTCCAGCAGGGAGCTTCCAGCAGGGAGCTTCCAGCAGGGAGCTTCCAGCAGGGAGCTTCCAGCAGGGAGCTTCCAGCAGGGAGCTTCCAGCAGGGAGCTTCCAGCAGGGAGCTTCCAGCGGGGAGCTTCCAGCGGGGAGCTTCCAGCGGGGAGCTTCCAGCGGGGAGCTTCCAGCGGGGAGCTTCCAGCAGGGAGCTTCCAGCAGGGAGCTTTCCACCGGGGGCCTCCAGCAGGGAGCTTCCAGCAGGGAGCTTCCAGCAGGGAGCTTCCAGCAGGGAGCTTCCAGCAGGGAGCTTCCAGCAGGGAGCTTCCAGCAGGGAGCTTCCAGCAGGGAGCTTCCAGCAGGGAGCTTCCAGCAGGGAGCTTCCAGCAGGGAGCTTCCAGCAGGGAGCTTCCAGCAGGGAGCTTCCAGCAGGGAGCTTCCAGCAGGGAGCTTCCAGCAGGGAGCTCAGCAGGGAGCTTCCAGCAGGGAGCTTCCAGCAGGGAGCTTCCAGCAGGGAGCTTCCAGCAGGGAGCTTCCAGCTGGGAGCTTCCAGCAGGGAGCTTCCAGCAGGGAGCTTCCAGCAGGGAGCTTCCAGCAGGGAGCTTCCAGCAGGGAGCTTCCAGCACGGAGCTTCCAGCACGGAGCTTCCAGCACGGAGCTTCCAGCACGGAGCTTCCAGCAGGGAGCTTCCAGCGGGGAGCTTCCAGCGGGGAGCTTCCAGCGGGGAGCTTCCAGCAGGGAGCTTCCAGCAGGGAGCTTCCAGCAGGGAGCTTCCAGCAGGGAGCTTCCAGCAGGGAGCTTCCAGCAGGGAGCTTCCAGCAGGGAGCTTCCAGCAGGGAGCTTCCAGCAGGGAGCTTCCAGCAGGGAGCTTCCAGCAGGGAGCTTCCAGCAGGTTGCTTCCAGCAGGGAGCTTCCAGCAGGGAGCTTCCAGCAGGGAGCTTCCAGCAGGGAGCTTCCAGCAGGGAGCTTCCAGCAGGGAGCTTCCAGCAGGGAGCTCAGCAGGGAGCTTCCAGCAGGGAGCTTCCAGCAGGGAGCTTCCAGCAGGGAGCTTCCAGCAGGGAGCTTCCAGCTGGGAGCTTCCAGCAGGGAGCTTCCAGCAGGGAGCTTCCAGCAGGGAGCTTCCAGCAGGGATCTTCCAGCAGGGAGCTTCCAGCACGGAGCTTCCAGCACGGAGCTTCCAGCACGGAGCTTCCAGCAGGGAGCTTCCAGCAGGGAGCTTCCAGCAGGGAGCTTCCAGCAGGGAGCTTCCAGCAGGGAGCTTCCAGCAGGGAGCTTCCAGCAGGGAGCTTCCAGCAGGGAGCTTCCAGCAGGGAGCTTCCAGCAGGGAGCTTCCAGCAGGGAGCTTCCAGCAGGGAGCTTCCAGCAGGGAGCTTCCAGCACGGAGCTTCCAGCAGGGAGCTTCCAGCAGGGAGCTTCCAGCAGGGAGCTTCCAGCAGGGAGCTTCCAGCAGGGAGCTTCCAGCAGGGAGCTTCCAGCAGGGAGCTTCCAGCAGGGAGCTTCCAGCAGGGAGCTTCCAGCAGGGAGCTTCCAGCAGGGAGCTTCCAGCAGGGAGCTTCCAGCAGGGAGCTTCCAGCAGGGAGCTTCCAGCAGGGAGCTTCCAGCAAGGAGCTTCCAGCAGGGAGCTTCCAGCAGGGAGCTTCCAGCAGGGAGCTTCCAGCAGGGAGCTTCCAGCTATGATGCGAAAGACGCTCAGAGGACGCTGCGTCCTGCGTCTGGACGCAGCGTCTGGACGCTAGGACGCAAGACGCGCGTCCAGACGCAGGACGTAGATCAAAAAATTTTCGGGCTGCCCCGAATTTTTATTTTTTTTTCCAGATTAAGAATTTCAATCTCGCGATTTCGACGCGACTGTCGAAATCGCGAAATTTTGACCCCCCATTGCTCAATTCGACATTGAAAAACAGCCCCCCCCCAACATTTCATAACCCCCCATGCAACAATTGAATTCCAAATACCTCTCAACCATTTCACATCTAGAAAACCCAACCAAGGTGCCTACCACCAAGCCCATTTAGCAATCCAACCAAGTCATTTCTCATTTCACCCACCCAACCAATTCTCTTTCGAAAACCCTAGAGGTTATAGCCTACAAGCATTGCTTAGCTCCATTATGGCTTCCTCAAGCCTTAGTTGGTACTTTACGTTTTTTAGGGTCACGTAAAGCGTAAACTTACGTTGAGTTTACCTTTACGTTTTCTTACGCGTAATATTACGTAAAGTTGCAGGGGCAGGGCAAAAAAGTTTTTTTTTGCCTGCGAAATGGAAAAACCTGACTGATATGAGGTGGGAGAGGCTGTGACATGTCGGTGTAGATTTGGGGCATCTGTAAGTTGATGTAATAATGTCAAACATGCTTGGGCATAGAAGAACCAAGCTAGTGATTGATTAGGCGCTTCCCATGCAGCCGCTTAATCCGATGATTTCCTATCTTTCCGGGCAATCAGAAATGTTTCTGGCTGACCGTAAACGTAAAGCTGTTTTGGGCCCACGTAAGTAAACGTAAGTTTACTACGTAAAGTCACGTACACGTAAACCCCCGTAAACGTAAAATGTCAACTAAGCCTCAAGCAACCCTACGTCATCTAACGCATCTAGGGATGTTCATGCCGAGGAGAACATTCCCACCCCTCCCCTCCCCGAGGGGTACATGTTGGAGGAGGATGGGGAGAGGGAGGTGGACGAGGACGACATGATGGTCGATGAGTACAAGGACCACGATGAGAAGGATAGCGAGGAGGACGGGGATGAGTGACTGGTTGCCTGCATGCAGTGCTGTGGTGGTAGTTTAATAGTATGCTTGTTCTTCAGTGATACGATAAACTGTGCATGTGACCTTGGGACATGTGTGTGACAATACGTGACTCACCTTAATCTTGAGATTTGGGGGAAAATTTGATATTGGGGCCAAGTTTGCCTTGAAAGTGTGGAACGTTCCCCCCCCCCCCCCCCCCCCCCTCTCATCCCATGCCCTATAACAAGTTTTTTTGCCTGCCCGGGGGTTTTTTTTGCCTGCCCGGGACTGCGTCTTTTGGTGCGTCTTTCTGGTCCTGGTGAAGCGTCCTGCGTCCGGACGCATGACGCGTCTTTCGCATCATAGGCTTCCAGCAGGGAGCTTCCAGCTGGGAGCTTCCAACAGGGAGCTTCCAACAGGGAGCTCCCAGCAGGGAGCTCCCAGCAGGGAGCTCCCAGCAGGGAGCTTCCAGCAGGGAGCTTCCAGCAGGGAGCTTCCAGCAGGGAGCTTCCAGCAGGGAGCTTCCAGCAGGGAGCTTCCAGCAGGGAGCTTCCAGCAGGGAGCTTCCAGCAGGGAGCTTCCAGCAGGGAGCTTCCAGCAAGGAGCTTCCAGCAGGGAGCTTCCAGCACGGAGCTTCCAGCAGGGAGCTTCCACCGGGAGCTTCCAGCAGGGAGCTTCCAGCAGGGAGCTTCCAGCAGGGAGCTTCCAGCAGGGAGCTTCCAGCACGGAGCTTCCAGCACGGAGCTTCCAGCAGGGAGCTTCCAGCAGGGAGCTTCCAGCAGGGAGCTTCCAGCAGGGAGCTTCCAGCACGGAGCTTCCAGCACGAAGCTTCCAGCAGGGAGCTTCCAGCAGGGAGCTTCCAGCAGGGAGCTTCCAGCAGGGAGCTTCCAGCAGGGAGCTTCCAGCAGGGAGCTTCCAGCACGGAGCTTCCAGGACAGAGCTCTGTAGGGGAGGAGGAAGGATGCTGAGGGTGGGAGCGGAGATTAAGGAGAAGGGCGGCGTGGAGAAGGGCGGCGTGGAGGAGGGCATAGCTCCAGAGGGAAGGAGGGGTGGAGGCATGAGCAATGAGATAGCGAGCAATCTTGGTGATCTCACGAATGCGGCTCTTAGCAATGCCGTTCTGCTGAGGGGAATGGGGAAGAGTGGAGGTCTGCTGGATGCCGTAGGTGGCGCAGTATGTGGCAAGGGTGTTATTGATGAACTCACCCCCACCATCAGAGTGAAGGCGGCCAATGGGGCGTTTGAAGTGATTGCGGCACTGTTCGGCCCAGTTGATGACCACTGACGGCACCTGGTCTTTCGTGTGAAGGAAGAAGGTGGTGGAGTACCGGCTGTGGTCGTCAACGAGGACGAGCATGTACCGATGCCCCTGGCGGGAGCGGATGGGATAGGGGCCCCAGAGGTCCATGTGCACAAGGTCAATGGGGGCGGCGGCGAAGGTGGGATGACTGTGGTGGGGGGACTGTTTGAGTTTGCCGTGAATGCATGAAGGGCATGGGGGAGAGGGGGAGGAGGGGAGGGGAGGTAAGACGGGAGGAAGGCTGCGGAGGAGGCGAGAAGTGACTGTGGTGCGAAGGGCGGTGAAGTTGGGATGACCGAGTCTGTGGTGTAGGAGGACAACAGGGTGGGAGAGGACAGCGGAGGAGGAGGGAGATGGGGTAAAGGAAGGAACGGGAGGGGAGGAGGGGGATGGTGGGGAGGGAGAAGAGGTGACTTGAGTGGGAGGGGAAGGGGGAAGTAAAGGAGGAGGAGGTGGACCGGTGGAAGCACCGGAACGAGTGGTGATGTGGCAGAAAGATGTGCGAGGTGTGCGGAGTGTGTAGAGGCGAGTGCGGGGGCAAAGCGGAATGCGGAGAAGGAAGCGACCGGAGGAGGTCTGGTAGAGATCACAGTAATTGGCATAACCGGGGTAAGTGGCAGTGATACCAACACCTTGGAGCTCACGGTGGGAGAGGAGGTTGTTGCGGAGAGTGGGGATGCGGAGACCTGTGACCTTACCGGAGGGGAAGGCAGTGCAAGGGAGGGTGGAAAGGTGAGTGCATGGAATGGAAAAGCTGGAATCAGCTCCATGAACCTGAGTGGGAAGTGGTAGTGGGGTGAGAGTGCCAGCATCTTTCAGTGCGGTTTCAGTGGCTCCACTGTCAAGGACAAAGTCCAGGGTGGGAGAAGAGGGAGGAGGGGGTGGGACGGGATACTGAAACGAAGTCTCATTGATAGCAGAGGGATACATGGCAGCAACGGTCGGTGCAACACTGATATTACCAAGGAAACTACCAAAAGTGTCGGAAACACTAAGGGGGGGGGAGGGGAGGGAACCCCAGGGGGGAGGAGGAGGAAGGGAGGTATGAGCGGCCATGGCCGCCGTGCCGAAGGTGAGTGGCTGCTGCTGCCAGGGTGGGGGAAGGAACTGCTGCTGCTGCAGCGGCGGTGGCTGGAAGACCTGCGGCGGCGGCGGCTGCTGGGGCTGGAGAAACTGCGGCTGCTGCTGCCGCTGGTGGAAGTACAGGTGCTGCAGTTGCTCGTGCTGCTGAAACTGCTGCAGCTGTGAGGGTGGGGAGGGGGTGACCATGCGGAGGTGAGTAGGGAGGAAAGAGGGGAGGGTTTGAATATCCACTAAGGTGGGGCGAGGTGCGATCGAGTTCCAGCGAGGAGGGGTGCCAGTGTTGCCTCGATCAAACCAGGCGTCGTCGAGTGCCTTAAAGCACGTGGTGGGGGGATGGTTGGTTTGGCCGCAAGGGGTACCAGCATGGGGACCATGGCGGCGCACATATGTGCATGGGGGGAGAGTGCCAGGGCGTCCGCCTCGAGTCACAGCACCACCAGAACCGGAAGGTCCTCCAGCAGGGGCGCTGCCAGCACTACCTCCACCGGCACCACGGCCACCACGGCCACCACTACCACCACCGCCACCACCACGGCCTCCACCACCACCGCCACCACCACGGCTTCCGCCGCCGCCGCTGCGACCACCCTGGTTGCGCGGCTGCGTAGCGTTAAGGGAGGTGGAGGAGGAGGACTGAGGGGTGGTAAGGTTGACAACGGGGGTACGAAGCTTGACTTCCGTGTCAATGATCCACTGGACCACATCGTCGAGGCCGGCCATGGGGTTGGCCTCGGTGAAGGCATGGAGGCGGGACTCGTAGTCCGGGGTGAGGTTGTAGAGGAGGCGGTGGATTTGCAGAGGCTCAGGGAGGGCAGCTTGGCGTGCCGCAAGGCGATCAGCGACCTCCTGCATGCGCCCCACGTAGTCAACTGCGCCATCACAAGTGGCGAGGGTGATGGAGAAGTACTCCTGGAACAGAGCGCCGACAGAGCTGATGTCGCGACGCTCGAACATCGCCTGGAGCTCGGCCCAGATGAGGGAGGCGCGCATCTCGCGAGCTTGGAAACGGCGCATGAGGGTACCAGGGAGTGCGCCGAGGAGGATGGTGCAGGCGCGGTTGTCAGCAGTGGCCCACGCGATGCTCCGAGGGAGGTAGTCCGCCATGGCCGTATTGTATTCATCAAGGAGCGCCAGGCGATTGGCGCGTTCCGCTACCGCGAAGTCGTGGTTGTGTACCGCAACCTCATGCTCCGCCTTGCGGATGAGGTATTCGCGGCGATCGTGGAGGAATGCGGCATCGGCTGCATCCTGGAGCGCTGGGGTAGTGGCGATCTCCAAGGTGGGTTCAGTAGAAGGAGGACCAGGAGGAATGGGGGGTGGAGGGGGTTCGCCGGGGTGATTGGGTGCCGTAGGCTGGAGGGCTTGCGGGCGGCGGAGGAGGACGTCGATGACGCAGTAGGGTCCGACGAATGCATCTTGGAGAACACGGCGGATACTCCCAACGAAGTGGGGAGTGGAGGTCTTCTTCGGCTGCTGCTGCTGCTGCCGCTGCTGCCGCTGCTGCCGATGCTGCTGCTGCTGCCGCTGCTGGCGCTGCTGGCGCTGCTGCCGATGCTGCCGCTGCTGCCGCTGATGCCGCTGCTGCCGCTGCTGCTGCTGAGAGGGAGGAGAGGGGGGGGGGGAGGGAGGGGAGGAGGGGGGAGGAAGATGGTGGATGCAGCTGCTGCCGCTGCTGCTGCCGCTGCCGCTGCTGCCGCTGTTGCTGTTGTGGCTGCTGAGGTGTCTCGGCTGCTGCTGCGTGGGAGGAGAGGAAGAGGAAAGGGGGAGTGGGAGGGAGAACGCAGGTGTAGGTGTGGGCGGGGCTGTTGCTGCCAATGACGCTGCTGCTGAGGGATGAGGCGGCTGCTACGAGGAAGGCGCGGCGGCAAAAATGCGCGGGTGGCGACGAGTAGGTCGCGGCAGTAAGATGCGGGGGCGGCGATTTTTAGGTCGCGGCGACGGGTTGCGCGGGCGGCGACTTTAGGTCGCGGCAGCAAGGGGTGCAGATGGCGACGCGAAGTTGCGGCGGCAGGTCGCGCAGGTGGCGACGAAAAGGTTGCGGCAGCGGGATGCGTAGGCGGCGACGCGAAGTCGCGGCGGAGGATCGTGCACGCGGCGACGAGCGAGTCGCGGCGGCGGGATGCTTAGGTGGCGACAGGGGGGGTCGCGGCGATGGGGAGCGCAGGCGGCGACGCGAAGTCGCGGCGGCAGGACGGGAGGCGACGATGGGGCGTCGCGACGGCGGGATGCGCAGGTGGTGCCGGGGAAGGCGCGGCGGCGGTAGGGGGAGGCGGCGACGTGACGTCGCGGCAGTGGGAGGGGCAGGCGACGACGGGGTGTCGCGGCGGAGGGATGCGCAGGCGGCGCCGAGGAAGGCGCCGCGGCGGTAGGGGGAGGCGGCGACGCGACGTCGCGGCAGCGGGAGGGGCAGGCGACGACGGGGTGTCGCGGCAGAGGGATGCGCGGGCGACGCCGAAGTAAGCGCGGCGGCGGTAGGGGGAGGCGGCGACGCGACGTCGCGGCAGCGGGAGAGGCAGGCGACGACGGGGTGTCGCGGCGGAGGGAGGAGGAGGCGGCAACGAGGCGTCGCGGCGGGATGCGCAAGCGGTGCCAGAGAAGGCGCGGTGGCGGGAGAAAAGAAGGGGGGGGGGGGGGGGGATGATGCACTCGCGTAGGTCGTGGCAAGGAGGGAGGGAAGAGTGGCGACGGCATAGGTCGTGCCAAGGAGGTGCTAGGTTGAGCCACACGTAGGGGGTTTGTGGCTGTGGGGTGGGCCCATGGGGAAGAAAAACTTTGAGGGAGAGAAAAAGCTTAGGAACAACTAGCTCTATACCATGTGAAGATTGTGAATTTAACAAGTAATTAGATTAGAGAGGCAACCTAGCATACATAGTTGGAAGGGAACGTATCGAAGGGAAGGATGGAAGGGAAGGATCAAAGTGACCATAGGTTGGGTTGACCTCACTTGGGGGGATGAGGGAACCATAGATCAAGTGGGTTGGGTTGCCCATACTTTGTAGAAGTGAGGCAACCCTAGGCCCACTTGGCTTGGTGGAACCTCAATTGTGGGAAGTGAGGTACCCACAAGTCAAGAGGGTTGCATTTGGGGGCTCCATCACAATTGGGTGGATTGGCACCCCAAAGTGCAAGACTACACCCAAAGTTGGGTGTAGTCCCAACCCAACTGTACACCACAATTTGTGTACAGTCACATGTGTTGGCATGCTACAATATATATTTTAACAGCTTCCAGCAGGGAGCTTCCAGCAGGGAGCTTCCAGCAGGGAGCTTCCAGCAGGGAGCTTCCAGCAGGGAGCTTCCAGCAGGGAGCTTCCAGCAGGGAGCTTCCAGCACGGAGCTTCCAGCACGGAGCTTCCAGCACGGAGCTTCCAGCAGGGAGCTTCCAGCAGCGAGCTTCCAGCAGGGAGCTTCCAGCAGGGAGCTTCCAGCAGGGAGCTTCCAGCAGGGAGCTTCCAGCAGGGAGCTTCCAGCAGGGAGCTTCCAGCAGGGAGCTTCCAGCACGGAGCTTCCAGCAGGGAGCTTCCAGCAGGAAGCTTCCAGCAGGGAGCTTCCAGCAGGGAGCTTCCAGCAGGGAGCTTCCAGCACGGAGCTTCCAGCACGGAGCTTCCAGCACGGAGCTTCCAGCACGGAGCTTCCAGCACGGAGCTTCCAGCACGGAGCTTCCAGCATGGAGCTTCCAGCACGGAGCTTCCAGCACGGAGCTTCCAGCACGGAGCTTCCAGCACGGAGCTTCCAGCAGGGAGCTTCCAGCAGGGAGCTTCCAGCACGGAGCTTCCAGCAGGGAGCTTCCAGCACGGAGCTTCCAGCACGGAGCTTCCAGCAGGGAGCTTCCAGCAGGGAGCTTCCAGCAGGGAGCTTCCAGCAGGGAGCTTCCACAGGGAGCTTCCAGCAGGGAGCTTCCAGCAGGGAGCTTCCAGTAGGGAGCTTCCAGCAGGGAGCTTCCAGCAGGGAGCTTCCAGCAGGGAGCTTCCAGCAGGGAGCTTCCAGCACGGAGCTTCCAGCAGGGAGCTTCCAGCAGGGAGCTTCCAGCAGGGAGCTTCCAGCAGGGAGCTTCCAGCACGGAGCTTCCAGCACGGAGCTTCCAGCACGGAGCTTCCAGCAGGGAGCTTCCAGCAGGGAGCTTCCAGCACGGAGCTTCCAGCAGGGAGCTTCCAGCAGGGAGCTTCCAGCAGGGAGCTTCCAACAGGGAGCTTCCAGCAGGGAGCTTCCAGCAGGGAGCTCCCAGCAGGGAGCTTCCAGCAGGGAGCTTCCAGCAGGGAGCTTCCAGCAGGGAGCTTCCAGCAGGGAGCTTCCAGCAGGGAGCTTCCAGCAGGGAGCTTCCAGCAGGGAGCTTCCAGCAGGGAGCTTCCAGCAGGGAGCTTCCAGCAGGGAGCTTCCAGCACGGAGCTTCCAGCACGGAGCTTCCAGCAGGAGCTTCCAGCAGGGAGCTTCCAGCAGGGAGCTTCCAGCAGGGAGCTTCCAGCACGGAGCTTCCAGCACGGAGCTTCCAGCAGGGAGCTTCCAGCAGGGAGCTTCCAGCAGGGAGCTTCCAGCAGGGAGCTTCCAGCAGGGAGCTTCCAGCAGGGAGCTTCCAGCAGGGAGCTTCCAGCAGGGAGCTTCCAGCAGGGAGCTTCCAGCAGGGAGCTTCCAGCAGGGAGCTTCCAGCAGGGAGCTTCCAGCAGGGAGCTTCCAGTAGGGAGCTTCCAGCAGGGAGCTTCCAGCAGGGAGCTTCCAGCAGGGAGCTTCCAGCAGGGAGCTTCCAGCACGGAGCTTCCAGCAGGGAGCTTCCAGCAGGGAGCTTCCAGCAGGGAGCTTCCAGCAGGGAGCTTCCAGCACGGAGCTTCCAGCACGGAGCTTCCAGCACGGAGCTTCCAGCAGGGAGCTTCCAGCAGGGAGCTTCCAGCAGGGAGCTTCCAGCAGGGAGCTTCCAGCAGGGAGCTTCCAGCAGGGAGCTTCCAACAGGGAGCTTCCAGCAGGGAGCTTCCAGCAGGGAGCTTCCCAGCAGGGAGCTTCCAGCAGGGAGCTTCCAGCAGGGAGCTTCCAGCAGGGAGCTTCCAGCAGGGAGCTTCTAGCAGGGAGCTTCCAGCAGGGAGCTTCCAGCAGGGAGCTTCCAGCACGGAGCTTCCAGCACGGAGCTTCCAGCATGGAGCTTCCAGCACGGAGCTTCCAGCACGGAGCTTCCAGCACGGAGCTTCCAGCACGGAGCTTCCAGCACGGAGCTTCCAGCACGGAGCTTCCAGCACGGAGCTTCCAGCACGGAGCTTCCAGCACGGAGCTTCCAGCACGGAGCTTCCAGCATGGAGCTTCCAGCACGGAGTTTCCAGCAGGGAGCTTCCAGCACGGAGCTTCCAGCAGGGAGCTTCCAGCAGGGAGCTTCCAGCAGGGAGCTTCCAGCAGGGAGCTTCCAGCAGGGAGCTTCCAGCACGGAGCTTCCAGCACGGAGCTTCCAGCACGGAGCTTCCAGCAGGGAGCTTCCAGCAGGGAGCTTCCAGCAGGGAGCTTCCAGCAGGGAGCTTCCAGCAGGGAGCTTCCAGCAGGGAGCTTCCAACAGGGAGCTTCCAGCAGGGAGCTTCCAGCAGGGAGCTCCCAGCAGGGAGCTTCCAGCAGGGAGCTTCCAGCAGGGAGCTTCCAGCAGGGAGCTTCCAGCAGGGAGCTTCTAGCAGGGAGCTTCCAGCAGGGAGCTTCCAGCAGGGAGCTTCCAGCAGGGAGCTTCCAGCACGGAGCTTCCAGCACGGAGCTTCCAGCACGGAGCTTCCAGCACGGAGCTTCCAGCACGGAGCTTCCAGCACGGAGCTTCCAGCACGGAGCTTCCAGCTCGGAGCTTCCAGCACGGAGCTTCCAGCACGGAGCTTCCAGCACGGAGCTTCCAGCACGGAGCTTCCAGCATGGAGCTTCCAGCACGGAGTTTCCAGCAGGGAGCTTCCAGCACGGAGCTTCCAGCAGGGAGCTTCCAGCAGGGAGCTTCCAGCAGGGAGCTTGCACCCACCTGATGTCCACTCATCCTCCTTCCTCCCGGTGCCGCACTCCTTGTCCCTCCTTGTCCGCGACGCCCTCTCCTCGCCTATGCATGCAGCCTCTCTCTTCTGCCTGCGACCCCCTCCCCTCCTGCTCCTGCCTTCTTCACAGATGCAAGTGAACAAGGTGGCAGGGAGTTTCCACTTTGCACCGGGGAAGATAGGCTTACAAGGCACACCCATCAGTGGCAGTACTACTGTTACACTCCTTGTCCCCTCCTTCCCCCGATCACCACACGTGCAGGTGAACAAGGTGGCAGGGAACTTCCTCTTTGCACCGGAGAAGAGCTTTCAGCAGGCAGGCTTGTTTGCACCCATCTACCCAGTGCACTCCTCCTCCTTTTGCTGTTACTCATTGCTTCGCCCTCCCTTCTCTATATGCGACCTCCCCCCCTTCACCGCCCCCTCATGTGCAGGTGAACAAGGTGGCAGGGAACTTCCACTTTGCGCCGGGGAAGAGCTTTCAGCAGGGAGGCTTGCACGTGCATGACCTCATGCCCTTTCAGCACATGACGTTCAATGTGAGGTTCACGTGAGGCTCATGTAAGGCGCATGCGTTATAAGGAAAGGACAGAGGTTTGACATGTGAGATTCGCTTCCCTGTTCTGCTTTGGGAGGCTTGCACGTGCATGATCTCATGCCCTTCCAGCACATGACGTTCAATGTAATCCAGTACGGTACCATGACTCTTATTGTGTGTGACACTTATCGTAAGTCAATACCATACCACGACCCTTCTTGTGTGTGACCCTTATCGTAAGTCAATTCCATACCACGACCCTTATCGTAAGTCAATACCATACCACGACCCTTATTGTGTGTGACCCTTATCGTAAGTCAATACCATACCACGACCCTTGTTGTGTGTGACCCTTATCATAAGTCAATACCATACCACGACCCTTATTGTGTGTGACCCTTTCCTCTCCACCCTTCTTTCCTTTCTACAACATGTGTCTCATATAATTTCCTCAGCTTTTTTGGAGCCAAGTTTCCAGGACTAGTCAACCCCCAAGAGGGGTACGCACCTGGAGCTGCTTTCAACCTGCCTCTGCCCATATTTCCCCTCCACTCTCTCCCCCTTTCTGCTTCCCTTTCTACTACAGGTATCGCATGTGATCAACTCGCTCTCCTTTGGAGCCAAGTTTCCAGGCCTAGTCAACCCCCTAGACGGGTATGTGTTTACAAGATGTTTGGTACAAAGCTTTAAAGGTTGTGTGAGCAACGTAGAGGGGTCTGCGTGGCTAGTCAATGACTGCCTTCATTTCATGGGAATACGTGAGATTAAAGAGGTTTCTGAAGCGGGTCTGAGTGATGTGATGTGATATGATGTGATGTGCTGGCATGCAATTTTGCTTCATGGGTTGTGTGAGCCACGTTGCCTTGAAAGGTGGTTGATTGACTTTTGAGTCGACGCAAAAGTCCACTCGAGAGGTTTTTGTAGTGGGTGGGGTTCATGTGATGTCATGTGCTGGCATTTCATGCTGCTTTAAAGGTTGTGTGAGCCACGTTGCCTTGAAAGCTGGTTGTGCGCTCCCATGTGCCATCTAGGGCTTTGTGTGTGTGCTGCACTGTTGGCTGCTTGTGTGGCAGGGTGAAATGGATACAGGAGAAGGACCCCGGCATGTATCAGTACTTCATCAAGGTGAGATGAGATGAGAGTGCCTGTTAAGTCAGCATGTATCAATGCTGACTCGAAGCATTCCGATGCACACCTGCATTGCGAAGCAAGGGTGAAATGGATACAGGAGAAGGACCCCGGCATGTATCAGTACTTCATCAAGGTGAGACAGGAGAGTCCACTCAAAGCCATGTCGTTGCACACTCAGGTCGAGAAGGGGAAATGGATACAGGAAGTATTGGTACTCATGTACCAATACTTCATCAAGGTGAGGTTGCCTGTTTCGTCAACTCAAATCCCGGCATGTACTGCTTTATCAAAGTAAGAGTTTATCATTTTCATTAGGTTACTTCTTGTGTTGTGCACTGACATTGTGTCGTTGCTTCACTGAGGTGCCTCTTTCTTTATCGCTACCCTTTCTGTCTTCTCTCCGTCCCACTCTCCCCACTCTTCCCTTCCCCCTCACCTGCCTTGTGCCAGTGCTGCATACCCGTCCCCTGCCCTCCACTCCACACCCTCCCTTCGTACAACCAGAAGAAGGCTCAAAGAGCCGAAACTAGTTACCGCCATTATTCCTTTACATAAGGTTTTCAAAGCAAGTCTCTACACACACTAAACAAATAGTTGGCTAAAAGCTGCTGCTGCCACGCAAAGACCATGACTCCTGTTTGGGGTTTGATTGGTCCCACTCTTCCCACTCTTCCCTTCCCCCTCACCTGCCTTGCGCCAGTGCTGCATACCCGTCCCCTGCCCTCCACTCCACACCCTCCCTTCGCACAACCAGATTGTGGCAACCAGACCATTACACAGAAGTCTCTAACCACACCATTTTTTACCAACCAGACATCCTTCCTTTCTCAATCCCCTTCTGCCTCCCACCACACCTCTCCTTCACTCAATGGCGGCCCACATGCAGATCGTGCCAACCCTATACACGGACGTTTCAAACCACACCATTTCAACCAACCAGGTAATCTCCTTTTTCCAATTCTTTTGATACAAACGGCCGGTGTAGCCCTTCCCCTTCCTGTATGTGACTGGCCATTTCAAAGCACGCGGAAACGGGAGGTGGATCTTAGGGGAAGTGAGCGATTGTGGGCATCAGAGATGGGTTCCCCTTAGCCTACCCTGCCTGCCACGTGATAAAGGAATTGTTGAGCAAATGGGGAAGGATGTGTGCCCCATCTCAAAACTCTTTTTCTGGGCACCAGGGATGGGCCCCCCATAGCCTGCCTTGCCCTGCCTCGATTCTCGTTCATGTCACTTTCTTCGAGTGCCGTCAGTTCATTTTTTTGGTTCAGTGACTGGGCGTTTCTGCCCAGAAATGCCCAGCCGATTTCTCACCAGACATATTGCATGGATTGCTCACAGCCTGCCAGCCGTATCCTTTCCTTGCCTTGGTTGCCATGCCACGTGCATGCACGAATCACAATGCACCCTCTACCCCGTTCCTCTCTCTTTCCTCCCTCCCCCAGTTTTCAGTGACGGAGCACTTCCGGCCGACAGAAATGGGTCACAGCAGCCTGCCAGGCGTATACGTCTTCTTCCTTCCCTCCCTTGCTGCTCCACACATGCATTCGGCCCACAATGCAACCTACTCGTCCCTCCTCCTTTCTTCCTCTCCCTCCCCCAGTTTTCAGTGACGGAGCACTTCCGGCCGTCAGAGATGGGTCACAGCCTGCCAGGCGTTTTTTTCTTTTACGACCTCTCGCCCATCAAGGTGCGAGCTTCTTTTGTCTTCTTCCTCTGTGCTCCGTCTGCTCTTTCTCATACCTTCATCACCATCCACCATGCACATTTCCCCTCTCTGTCTCTTCCGTTGTCATGTGCATGCAACTCCAGTCTGTAGTTCCCAGGTATCGCTGCACAGAGCAGCACACTAAGGTTGCATTGCATGCATGTGTTCCACAGCCTTCATCTCCTCACTGGTGCCATGTGCATGTATGTGATTGTGCATATTGGTATTCACGTCTGTGCATGTGAATGAGGAGTCACTTGCGTCCCCACTTTTGGCTGTAAATGCAAAGTCTAACATTTATCCCCCCTCTGCTCCCACACCAGGTTCGCTCCACAGAGCAGCACACATCCTTCTTCCACTTCCTCGCTCATATTTCTGAACAAAAACGCTGACATCCATCTCCCTCCCCCCTCTGCTCCCACACCAGGTTCGCTCCACAGAGCAGCACATATCCTTCCTGCCCTTCCTTGGGCGTGAGTCACGGCTGTGTGACTCTGCATATAAACACTGACATGCATCCTCGTTTCTCAAAGCATTTGCATCCCCTCCCGGCCCACGCTCCAGGTTCGATTCACAGAGCAGCACATATGCTTCCTCCACTTCCTCACTCTTGTCTTTAAGTACAAACCCTGACATCCATCCCCTCTGTTTACGCACCAGGTTCGCTTCACAGAGCAGAACACATCCTTCCTCCACTTCCTCACTAATGTCTGCGCAATCATAGGAGGTGAGAATCTATATTTCACGTACTGTTTATATTCTTTAAAAGATTGCATCGGGTGGTGGTGGTGGTGGGCTAAACATGCAGCCTTTGAGGCCCTCAGACGAGGGGGTTGTGTGAGTCAGCTCAAATTGACTAAGCTTATTCATAAGTAGCTTCATGTGTTCGCTTATTCTTAAACATCATTGGTGCTGTGTTTCAGCATAAATCACGAGCTGGCATTTTAATGCTTGTACGCACTAGTGAATGTTCCTCTTGTGCGAACCTTGCCTTGCTTGCAGGAGTGTTCACCGTGACTGGGATAATAGATGCTGTGGTTTACCATGGGCACAAGGCTATCAAGAAAAAGATGGAATTGGGAAAGCTTAGCTAAGCGCACTGTGCCATTGGTTTTGGCACTGCGTTTCTTATTTACTAGGCTGGATACAGAAGCGATGAGAAATGGATTTTTAGCTTTGTCCCTAATATGCTAATTGGTCCATTCCTAAGGTAATCGCTCTGATTGTGAAAGCTTGCGATTTGCCTTGCAAATGCAACGTCTCATTTCAACTGGGTAGTACAGGGTTTTGTCGTCCAAGCACAGTACAATATACCGTATGGCCCCGGGTATAGGCGCCGTCCGATTAAAGGCGCCGGCGCTTCTATCTGGAGCATGGCGCCTATGGCCGGAATTCGATTATAAGCGCCCCCCCTAGAAAACCTTTACTTATTATAAGCGCTATATGCGATTTGAATTGAAATTCTTGCCTAAAACAGTAACGAAATCCATTTTTGCAGCGAGTCAGATTTCAATTTCGCTTCGTTTGACTCGTGAAGACCTGACTGGCTGCGCGTCCAGTCAAGATGTGCTGGAATGACGTGGCTTTGCCTGTGTGTGAACCCAGAATATCGCTTGTGCGAGATTCTGCATTGTGACGCTAAAACATTTCGACTCGGTTGAAATGGCAAGAAGAAAATGAACAATTTGGTGCTCTAAAAATATAATTTCGTATTTGTCATTATATAAGCGCCGGCGCTTATGGCCGTTACTCAATTACAAGCGCCCCCCCTCAAAAAAATGATTTTATTATAAGCGCATATGCGCCTATATCCGGGGCCATACGGTACAAGTTCTAAGGGCTCATTCCTATCCTCCTATCAACCTGACATCCTATCTGTTGGAAACAAGTAACTTAAGCGCCTCTGTTGTGTCGAAACACCAAGTCAGAAGCGAAGCGAAACATATCGAAGCATCAGCGAGTCAAGTCAACCCTCGGAGGTTGAGCAACTGCTGGAGGTTACGCGAAAGTCAAAGGTCAGCGACCTTTGACTTGACAAGTACAGCGCGACAGCAAGGACAAACAACTGACTCGCTATTGAGTAGTTGCCCGAGTCGTTACTGTATCGAACCGCAACATCAACAGCAAAACGGTTATTAACTGTATCTCTTCGTTTTCCTTGTACTCTTATAGAAGCATGTATCTCTTTGTTTTCATCAATCTACTTTGCCCTCACATACCAGCGCAAGGTGGTTCACAAACTCCTCATTGAACGCTTCCGCTATTACATTAGTCCTACCAGGAATTTAGTCCTGCAAAGATCCTAAGGGCTTTTTCAGCCCAACATGGTATGAGAGCTGTCAGGACAAATTCCACTATCAAGACACCTACAACATTAGAAAGCATGGCTACTCAGAAGGAAAGGAGTTCCTCTAATGGTTCTCCCGGCACTACCCCTACTCCACCTCCTGCCTCTGGCCTACAGACAGAGCAGGGCACGGCGACAAGACCAGCAGCAGGGTCCACTGAAACTCCTGCGAATTAACCTGCAGACTTCGAACCAGAACATGATGGAGAAGTTCTTCTCCTTCATGTCCTTCTACGAGCAACACCAGCAGTCGGCACCTGCGCATTCAAACAACAGCAACAACAACAACGACGTGACGCCCATGAGCCTCGACGGCTCATCCTACGCACGCGGAAATCAACAGCAGCAGCCTACCTTTGCTCTGTACGAGCCCCAGCGCGGCCCCGTCAGCTTTATGCCACACCCGCAGCCTGCATTTGGACAAGAGAAGACACTGGACGCACTTCAAGTTCAGTCGCAGTTCGCGCACGTCTTAAAACTGCAAATGTCAAGCCCTTTTGACGGGAAGGACTTCTTTACCTGGTCGTTCGAGCTCGAACTAATGATGGAAGGGGCGCAGATTCTTGGCTTCTTCGACGGGTCTCTGCCATATCCAACACACGACACACAGTACGACAAGCAATAGTACACGTATCAGTCAATGATGGCGTACACAATACTACTGAGAAACATCACTCCGAATCAGAACCAGAATATACGGTCTTACCGGGGATACGGCAACTCTGCAGAGCTCGCGTACAACCACCTGAAGAACCTGTATCAAGCAACAGACAATGTCAATCAAAGTCGGTTAATGGCACAAGTGACAACAGTCGAAGTGAAACCGGGTGAAAAGGGGATGGTGTATATCAGCCGTTGTCGCGAATTGCGCGACAAACTCATTCGATGCGGAGGGTCGATTTAAGAAGACGCCTTCGTCACAATTATCATCGGCGGTCTCGGTCCTCAGTGGCGCTCAACTCGCGCCATACTCCGAGCTCACGGAAAAATATCAGAAGCAGCACTCTGTGCCGAGATCCGCGCTGAGCAGCAAGATATGGACCTGCAAGAAGAACGACACAAGAGGAAGGCATCAGTGCTTGAATTCGCATTCCACACTCAACGGCGCTACAACAGCAACAACAATCGGCATCAACCAAAACCAGTATCTCCGTTCTGTAACCTTTGTAAGACGTCAGGTCACCCCCGTACACTGCCCAAACCGGCAGCAGTCAACGCCAACGCAGCGGCCGCTTCGCCCTTCAAGCAGTCAAGTCGCCTCAACGCAAGCGAATCCGACCACTCAAGTACAAGCCTCAACAACATCGACGGGACAACCTGCGCAAGGAACAAGAAACATCGTCAGTTGCATGGCACGGCTAACCGACTCCTGCATCACAGAGTCACCACCGCATTACTCACCGGAAGAGCAACTCGACAAGAACACGCCTCGCCGCGAGTCACTTCAACCAAATCCGACGTATGCAGCCATCGCTCAAAGCAAGCCGTCCGGGAAAGATACGTGGTTCTTGGACAGTTGCTACGGATAGCACATGTGCTCTTCAGGACGTTTTGTTCAGCGCGAACACCAACTTCAACGCGAAGTCGTCATCACCATCGCCAACAACCAGAACATGCGCACACGACGACAAGGTGTGGTGCAACTTCAGTCACGAGAGACAAATGTGATACTGCAAATGTCAAAAGTGTTAATTGCGGAGGGACTCGGCTACAACTTACTGAGTGTCAGTCAGCTGATGGCGAAAGGTGACAAAAGTTAGAAGAAGAAAGAGGGTTGAACTAGCAGGAATGAGGATACAAATAGCAAAACCCTAGAAGGGTTGTACTCGCTATAGAGCACCCCACTACAGGCTAGAACATAAGATAATATTCTGACAAAAGGCATCCACCTCGAAGCAGATAGCACAACACAGGAGTTCAAGTTGTACCACGGGAGAGGAGGTCTCTACATCGGCAAGGCAGTCATGAAGAACAACGTCTTCGTCCTCGACTTTGTCCCAGATCTCGGCACCGCTGACATCGACGGGATCGTCACCTTCACCTCCTGGACACACCCACAAGATCTTGATCCCGACTTCAGTCCTGAAGGATTCTGGTACTCGCTCACCATCCCTGAAGCAGAACGAATGAGAGCACTAGCAACAATTCAATCGGCAGCAGCACAGACAACATTGGCAGCAGCAGAGACAACATCGGCAGCAGCAGAGACAACATCGGCAGTAGCAAAGACAACATCGGCAGCAGCACAGACAACATTGGCAGCAGCAGAGACAACATTGGCAGCAGCAGAAACAACATCGGCACCAATCGCGGGTCCTTCAATTGCACCGGCCATAATCGACGACGACACTCCACCGACTCCTGCGCAGCAATTAAACCCAACACTACGAGAAGTACATCGAAGCGCAAATTTCACCGCAAGCTTCTACTCCAACTCCGACTTATACCGTCGCTCACCCGGACATCCAGCTGGCGAAGATATCTGGCACGCACGAATGGGACATCCAAACAACATGGTGTTAAACAACACAATCAGAGCAGGCGTGCTCGACAAAGATTCACTGCTTCTAACCGACGAAAGCGAACTTCGACGAGCTCGTGGAACGTGCTTTACCTGCCCCGAAGCTGACTTGCCACATCAGCCATTCGCTTCTCACCACAATCCCAGCGCACCAGCTTACGCGCCACTTGAGAAAGTGTACAGCGACATCCTGTACAATCGCGAACCTGGACAAGGAGCATACAGCTACACCATCACGTTCATCGATGCCGCTACACGTTACGTTTGGCACCTTAACCTTCCGAGCAAGGACATGGCCTTCGAGGCCTTCATCGCTTGGCTCCCAGTAACAGAACGAGAATCGGGCGTAAAGCTTAAAAGCTTCTTGTCAAACGGAGGAGGAGAATACACCTCACAGAGGTTCAAGCAGTACTTGGCAGAAAGAGGAATCAAGAGGCTCATCTCTCTTCCCTACGCTCACCAGCAGCAAGGCGTAGCAGAAAGGATGAACAGGACTCTCCAGAACACCATGCGCAAGCTGCTACGAGGCATGCGACTGCCCAACCACCAGTGGCCCGAAGCAATGGACCACGCTGTCATGCTGCAGAACTTGCTCTCGTCATCATCGCTCACGAAGAACGCATCACCGCACCTGCTGTGGACAGGAAAACAGGGCAGCACAAAAATGTTAAGAGTTTTCGGCTGCATGGTACAGTACCGGCCCCCATCTGCACGAGCCGGCCGATTTTCCCAACACGCACAGTGGGGACTACACTTGGGCATCGAAAGAAATTACAACGCGTCGAAGGTTTTTGACGTCCACTCCAAGGAAACAATAGCAGCACGTAATGTCATTTTCTCCCTTCCGACGTACCTTGCCAACCTGGAAGAAGATCGGGACCCCACAGGCGGCTTCCGTGGTGACCGAGCCTTCGCTTTGGCAGCAGACGAAGCTGACTGGGATGAGCAGAACGTGGACGAAGCCTCAGAGGAAGCCAGACCTCTCCCTTACTACTCCGTCAACGTCCCAATGGATGACAAAAATCCTCGCGAAAGCGCCAACAACGAAGTATTTTACCACTTCGCCGACAACGGTTACGTCACACTTGCAGAAGTCAACACCAACGAAGCAGAACGCATAGGGCCCAACTTCATACCTGACCCAGAAGCAGGTGACGAAGCAGCTTATCCCGCGGACGCAACTCTCCCCCGCTACACATAGAGTGGCCTCCAGATACTCGGCCTTG